GCTTGGTTCAATTCGGATTGCGATTCTCGCCTCGGGCAAACGGCCTGCCGAGTCACTACCCTATCCGTGGATGTGCCTAATCGTAAATGAGAGGACATAAACACACCACGCATGAAATTAAACTGTAATTATAGCTTGACAGATAAAGAGAGGTCCGTTAGTGTTGTTGGATTACTTGACTGAGAGGGCAGGATGGTTGTGAAGAATTATGGAAGGTACTAAGAGTGTGTGGTAGGCAGCCGGCGAAGGGCAAATGAGATTACCAAAACTGATCTAGGAGCACCACCTCCATGATGGGGAAGAAAGGATTACTTCTTTCACGAACAACTAGAACGTTATACTACAAGAAGCTCAAAACGAACGAACCGGATATATCTTGTTCTCAAACGTTTCCTCTACGTTATCTTCATCAAACGGATTGCTAGCAGGTGCTACTTGACCAGAAGCTGAATCAGCTAACGACGCTGGAGTTGCTGGTGGAGGAGCTGGAGCAGGAGATGGAGTAGATCTATGAGAACCCATCTGAAAAGGGGAGCTCATTGGAATAAACGCGACTACCTCATAATGTTGACAAGAGTTCAATAAAAAAACTGCAATTATCTGAATAACGTACATCTGTTACGCTATCAGTAGGAGTGGAGGGTCGCGGCTCTGGTCGTGGAACTCGAAGGGAATCCATGGATTCACCAAGGCGGTCCAATTGGGTAACAATTTGTTTGTTAAGCTGTAAATAAAGACTCAATAGCATCCATGTCCCGTTCCAATTCATAAAAAGCCACAAAAACAGGATCGCTCACCTTACAACATTCTGCTTGATATATGCTTTGTGAATTGAATAAAGATTGCAACGTGTCAACATAAAATGTGATACGACTATCATATGTAGCTGGGAGTATCTGGAAACAGAAATCACATCACTGAAAACAAGAAAGCAAACACTTCTTTGCGGTTCGCTGAAAACCAGTAGCTGTTTCTTCTTCAAGGGTATCCCCTGTGGGATAGGGCAAAGCATTCTAAAGCCATTCAGGGCAAAGTAAAAACGTAAAGCAAAAGAAATTGTGATGGAAATTGCGTATGGCATAAAGAAAAACAAGGAATCGCCATTGGTGAGGGTTTCGAGAGCCACCAGCCTGCGTTACCTTCGTAGAAGCACAAATGGATAAAATTTTCGCCGTTAATCAATTTCCGTTTGGGACGCACGCATTCTACTTCTATTCAGAATGCTAGAGGTTTACTGCATGCGATGTGGCCTTTACAATGACTTGTGGGGCTAGCCAGTGTTCAGTCAGTTCGTATTCTCGTATCGTACTCCCAGCATCTGGTCCCAACTTACCGTCCCCGGAGGATAGACGGCTTGGTGGCTAATGCCGTTTGGACGCACGCAATTTCGGCACTGAGCAAATTTTTGAAGTGCTCAGTGCCAAAATCATCAAATCCGCTGAAAACTTGTATACAAAGGTTTAACATCCTGATTACGAATATGACACTCATTCTTGGCACTGGCGCTAAGAGAGGACACTACAAATACCCCTTGGGCTCATCCTTAGCAGAGCGCAGATAATCGCAGTGTTTCCATTAGCACCAGCGCCAAGAATGAATGTCACATTCGTGATTAAGCCAAATTACCTGTATATACAAGTTTTTAGCGGATTTGGTTATTTACGCCTTTGAAAAATGAGCTCGGTGCCAAAATTGCGTGCGTCCAAACTGTATTAGCCAGGCTCGGTCCGCCTGGGCGGGAGCCAATGAGAGATCTGACCCCTGGACCGCGCAAGTGATAAGCGTGCCACTTTCCACTACATCATCGCCTCCTTACACTGCCATAACTCCGCCATAATAATAATTTCGAGATATTCTTTTATATGCTCCTTCTTGTATTTGTTCATTTGTCCAGCTTTCTTCAAGAGTTCAATGTGTCAAGCTCATTATTCAAACTGAAAAAGGAGGGTGATTTAGTGGCAAGGAGCTCTTAACTACGATCAGGTCCCGGACCGTCTCGCCCAGGCTAAGCAGCCCTTTTACCATCCAAGGACGACTAGTCGGCGCCTGTTTTGTCTAGGAGGAAATATTGGCATTGGCCGGCCCCTGCAAATTCGTGTATAGGCCCATCGATCCCAGTAAGACAGTACGATTCTGAATGGAAGTAGAATATGTAACGTATCTCAAAAGTGACTGACCAACGACGAAAGATTTATCCTTTTGTTATTCAACTAAACCACAAATAAGCCTACAAATAAGGAACAAACGCCTCGTCACTTATCTTGGAATTTTATGGAGAATCAACAGACATACCTCTAACAACTCGTTATTTATCTCTTTATAAAGGGTCTCTGCTTGTTGTAGCTCAGTGTAAGCTTTGGCCACTTTTGGATCTGTTTCACCCTGGAATCGATGCGTCTGTGCTTGAAGGCCATATTCATAAGTATCTTACGGCAAAACGCTCCAATGCAATCCTCACCTTTTTACTTGAAGCTTTGGCAGAACTGTAGTTGTGCTTTGCATGGTCATAGTCAACAAGCTTCCTTCCTCTCTTGTCAACCTAAATAAGCCATTGAAACGCCATTTTTTAGTGAAGACAGAATCCGTACAATATCAGTGAATGGGAAATTATATAGAAAAAAATACACGCTAGTGTGGGCCGATCCGCAGATCGTAGTTGGAACCGTCGGACTCTTCCCTGAACAACTTTTCAACGTGCTTTCCTTCAAACCTCTAGCATTGAGGCGCACTCTTCGTAAAAGCGGTGGAGGATCGTTTGACTGGATAGGCAGACGCAAAGGCAATCTAATTGACCGAAAAGATAACCTTTGAAGACTTTATGCGTAGGGATGCTGCTCTCCGGTCAATACATATTTCTAGAGAGAACGCTAGCACTGATGTATAGTTGACCAATACCTTCTACAAATAGAATTTTAAATTCGCTCCACCGCAGAATTATGAAATTAGGGTAACCAGTCAGCCATATGACAGTGACACAGCTCCATTCTTGAACCACTTGATATATCCTTAATTGATATATCCGGATGTGGAAAACATCAATACGATGAACGACTTAGCACCAGAGCCGAACAGGAGGAAGCGAGCGCCTTGGGAAGCTTTCATGAACACTGAGGAAGTGGCGAAGAAGACGAAGCGACTCCGTGTCCAACTCTTCAATTCACCGGCCCTATTTTAAGTTACGTCGAAATTCAACGAAAATTCAAGAAATTCAACGCGCCATCGAAAGAGCTACGCTTAAAGATTCCTGCTACACGCAATTGAGGCAGGAAGTCCGGAGCTCCGTATTACGTCGACGATCGAAGATCAGAGATGCTCTCGCATACCAAGGTTTCGAAGATCAGGTGGGCCGCGCACGTCATGCGCTTTGAAGGACGACCGCTGGACTGAAGCAAATAGCGACAGGATGCCTCTGGATGTCAAACGAGCACATGGATGACCGCCCATGCGATGGTCACACTTCTTCCTGATGCTCCGATCTAATTCAGGTCCCTCAAGACAGAGAAACCAACAGGCAACTCTACCACGTTGCAGGGATGGACGTAGCATTACTAGCGCCCGCTCAAACGACTCGATGATCAACGGGAGCACAAGTGATGCATATGACTGGGGGTCTTGTATAGAAATTGGGAAATACGTGTTACCTCATACAACAAAATATATACGAATCAATAGCGTCAAACGTCCCTGAAAGTTGGTGCAGAGATACCAACGCAGACGTTTTCAATGGAAAAAAAAGTTCAAATTCATTAGATCAGGCTAAGCAATGGGACCGAGTCTAGAAGGGTCCTTCGCTCACTTTTTTCGTGACAGCCAGACGGATCCCACATGATTCCACTTTGACAATAAAAGGATCTATAGAACAAAAGGAAAAGTGTATGTCGTGCATGAAAAGTTGCACTGCCAGTAAATGCTTGATCCTATGTTAGTTTCACAGATTTAGGTAGATTTCACTTTGTTATTGTGTTGTTGTTCGTTTTTCACCGTATCTCACACCAAATGAAGGATGCTGTAAATTTTGACCTCGATGCTATCCACCCTAAAGACAGCCCCCGCGCTCAAGTAGTACATGGTCGTCCTTCCTTGTGCAGGTAGTTCAGCCCCAAAGCTAGATACTGTCCCACTCTCGCGACTCCACAGTGAGCGAGGAGCGAGCTACAGCCGCTCAAAGTTCTAGTTCTAACGCCCGCCCAGTTGGACCGCCCACTTGCTAGATGCCCTCTGACGGAGAGCCGCTCAGTTGTTCTTGTTTCTTGGGGTCGGGCATTAATCGTACTGCATGTACTTTAGCCTGACCGCGCTCGCGTCCATAAATAATTCTGCTCTCCTTTATTACATTTTATTCATTGGGAGCACATACAGTCAACTGCAACCCATCTCGCAAGGTAAAACGCGTAAAAATCACGAGTGATGCAATTTTTGTGGTGCAAAAGCTCGACATGCACTAAAAGCTGCACACTGCACACTGCACGTAACCCCAAATTCGGACGCCAAGTTTTTGAATTTTTCTTTTTTTAAGTGTTTTTCGTTCGTGTCTTTGTTGTTTTTCATATTCTTTTCTTTGAATTGGATGTTGTCCACTACTGGGAAATGCCATAAAGCGATTTGTGAGCCAGGGGTTGCCCACGGACCGCAGGCGGTGTAACTGTAAGGGAGCAATTTTGTTTGTGGTGTTCTTGAGGGCTCTTGTTGCTTTTTTCCCTCATTGAGGAATTACTTATCAGCTACTGTTTCATAATTGATCAGCAATTATCCTTGACACTTTTATCGCGGGAGCTGTCTTTAACAGCATGTGGTACTAACGCAGAATCAACATTAGCAGATTGCTAGCTGATCGCCAATAACTGCGTCACTGCGCTTCAAGCACAAAAGCGGTGGTCATCAGGCAATGATATATAGACACGGTATACAAGAAGCTACCTTTTTCTTCAATTCGGGGAACTGTGAAACGTAGTTGGAAACGGCTAGCGGGAGGTCTTCACATAGCACCTTCTCCATTTCATTTGACTGGATTTCGAGGTTCTATAAATGTAGGAAAATGCTTGAACTAAATGAACGATGACAAAAAAGCTATAAAAAAAACATACATCAATGATAGCAGTCAACTGCTCCCGTTCTGGCCATTCCGCTTCATAGGCTTCCCTGATGGTGTCGTGTAGAGCTTTCTCAGCTTGACAAAGCGTTTTCATGGCAGTGGAATATGCCTGCAAAAC